CATGCCATGTGTGTGTGCTGAGCAGGCAGTGCCCTTTCTTTGCTCAGGGATTTCGTGAACGTGCGTCGGATCGAGAGGAGAAGGGACAGGTACGTTTCCTCAGGGATATCGACCACGCACAGCCTGAAGCCTCCTCTCTCCAAGTACGTCAGGTAAGAGCCAGGGGCTCTTTTTCTCAGCTGGGATCACTCACTTCAAACGAAGCTTTAGGGCAAAGAGCCACTTAGCTGCAAACCCTGCTGCCTTTCCTGGCAGGGCTTGCAGGAAGCCGAGCTATTTGTGGAGCCAAACCTCGCTTCCCTTGCTCGTCTCCCTTTGTTCAAGAAACTCTCTGTTGCTGTCAGTGTTGCTGGGGCGTTTCCCAGCTCAGGGGAGTGGAGGTGCCCAACCAGCAGCAGCACCAGCCCCGTCCCAGTCTGCATCCTGTTTGTGCAGCAGGAATTTCGGAGGGGCAGTAAGCACCTGGATGTACTCCCAGCCTCTCACATGCCTTGTGCTCCTCGTAAACCGAGTTTAAGACATGGAGAGAAGGTCCCGTGGGTGAAAGAAGGATGGAGCAGCTCCCAAAATCTCAGCAGGGCTTTGGCCTCTCCCGTTCAGAAGGGCCAGGCTGGTGCTGGGTCCTGGCAGGGTCGGGCTCAGCAGACAAGGACTCCTTGTTCCTGCCGGGGCCCAGCTGTGCCGCTGCGCTCCCACGTCGTTTTTCCCAATAATCTGGTTAAAGTAATTGCCATTTTATCTCAGAGCTGCCTCACTCCATTTAAGAGCAGGGGACTTCGAGGCCTGGAAAAATCCTTGAACAAATATACCCAGTGAAAACAGTGTGTTCTGGGGAGGGAAGGGAAACCTGTGTCTGGGCTGTGTGTGTGTGCACAGCTCCCGTGTCGGGGATGGATCAGATGGTGCCAGCAAGGATCTGGGGGCTGGAGTGACAGGATCCTTGTCCTGAACCTGTCCTGAGCACACAGGGCTTCCCTGGGACCTCTTAGTTGTGCCTGGCTGGGAAACCTTCCCGTGGGGAAGAGCTGGCACCGTCCAGAGGCAGAGCTGCTGCTCTGGCACCACCGCTGCCAAGGCACCTGTGGGAAGCCTGCCCTGCCGTGCTGGCTCGTGCACCTGGAGCCAAGGAACACCTTCCTGGGCTCTCCACACCTGCTCCTGCCCCGCCGGGCCCCGGCCCTGGCTGCCGGGCGGGACCCGCACGGAGCATCCCAGAGCAGTGCAGGATTCCAGCCAGCCCTGGCTCTGGCTGATCCTCTTGGCTCTGCTCCACAGGGGTGAGAATGGACCCGGAGGATTCATCGTGCTCAAGTGTCCCAGCAACCCCAGGGTCTGCACCTTCATCTGGATTCTCAACACGGATCTGAAGGTAAAGCCGGTTCCTGGTCCCCAGTGCAGCTCTCCCCGGGGGCTCCTGGATCCCAGCAGCCATGGGAGTGGTTCCTTATCAAACACTGCCCTGAAGGGACTCAGGTGGAGGTTGAACTACCCCAAAATCCCCCCCTCCTCCCGATGAGGAGATGGGGAAGCTCTTCCTTACCTGAGTGCAGCACTGGGGTAAGGGAGGTTTTTATCCAGTTTGGGAACAAAAAACTGTTGGCCACAGGAGCTGTGCCTGGCTGCTCCCAGGAACACTCCGAAGGGGCAATTCCCAGCTCCAACACCCCCCGATACAACCACGGCCACCCCGTATCCACCCGGGGGGAATGAGGTTTCCCAGGTCCGGAGCTCTTTGTGGAGCTGTTGCCAGTGGCCTTGCCGGTGTCCCGGACAAAAGGGTGGCCCGGGAGGGCCCGGGATGGGGCGGGAGTGGGAGCAGGAGCGGAGCCGGCTCGTTCCTGCCCCCGCGGAAGGTTGACGTGGTAACGGTGCTGCCGCAGCGGCACAAAGGCTCCATTCATCGCTGTGCTGCAGCAGCCCCAGCCCTCCCCTCCCTCCCCTCCCACGGCCCTCTCCCCTCCCCTCCCCCAGAGGCTCCTGCCTGCCTTGCCAAAGGCTTTGGGAAGTGCTCTGGAGCGGGGCAGTGCCCTCCCGCCCCCGTTGTGCCAGGGATGTGTTTTCTCCTTCATGGATCTGGCTCCGATGCCTGTAAGGGGTTTGAGGGGGGTAAACAAATCCCTGTGATGGGGCTCGGAAAGAGAAGAGGTTCCTTGTGCTTCCCGGGCCGGAGCCGCCTCCGTGGTGGGAGGAATTCCGGAGTGGCCGAGCTATAAATAACCCCCAACTGCTCCCAGCACCTTCCCGAGGGGCTCTGCCAGTGCCCAGACCCCCTCCGGAGCTGCTCGCTGCTTCCTTTGGCCCTGGAGGGGTATTTATAGCCCGTGGCTCATCCCTTCCTGCTCCGGGAGGGGGGAGGATTCCAGGATTCCGCACGTGTGTGTGTTTGGGTCCGTGTGGGGAGGTGACTGAAATGGCCCCTGGAACAGCAGCCTCGCACTCTCCTGCCCTTTTAGCGGAGAGGAAACCCTCTCCAGGGAAAAATCTGTGCTGGAACCCCCAATCTGAGGGCAGGGGGGTGTCCTGTGCCTGCCTGACCCCCAGGATAGTTACCCACTCATCCCTCCCTGCTCGGGACCCCTGGAGCAGCTCCCGGTCCTGCCTGGGCTCCCTCCCCCCCGCAGGGACTGGGATTATTATTTTTTTCCTGGATCTCCCATCACAGAGCCGAGGCTGAGGCGGGTGGGGGTGAGTCGTGCAGGGCTTTTTTAGGGAAATCAAACCACGTTGCAGATCCTCCCCCGGATCGGAGCTCCGCGAGAGCCGCAGCTCCGCACCGTGGTGCTCCTGGAGCATCCCTGGAGCATCCCTGGAGCCCCCATCCCAAACCTCACAGAGGGCTCCTGCATCCCTGGAGCCCCTCCGGAGCCCCCAGCCCCAAACCTTGCTCGTGGCTCTGTGTCCCTGTCCCTGGAACCCCCTGGGATGGGGTGGGATGGGATGGGGTCAGACCCCAGCCCCAAATCCTGCTCATGGCTTCAAGTCTCTGGAACTTCTTGGATTGAAACAGGAGCAGCCCCTCGGCCCAAAACCCTCACTTGTGTCCCTGGAACACCCCTTGGGGTGGGAAGGGGACCAGCCCCCAGCCCCAAACCTCACCCATGGCTCCTGCATCCCGGGAACTCCCCGGGGTGGGATGAGGACAGCTCCCATTCCCAAACTTGTGCTCGTGATTCTGTGTCCCTGGAAGGCCCTGGGGTGGGATGGGGTCAGTCCCCAGCCCTGTGCCAGCCCCGTTGTGTCCCTGCAGGGTCGGCTGCCGCGGTACCTGATCCACCAGAGCCTGGCTGCCACCATGTTCGAGTTCGCCTTCCACCTGCGCCAGCGCATGGCCGAGCTCTGCTCCAAGCCCTGAGGACATTCCACAGCCCTCTCTGCTCCGGAGGGGGGGACAGGACCCTACACCCCCTCCCCAGGGAGAGGACCCCCTGCTGCCAGCGCTGGGCTGACCCCGGGCAGGGGGCTCAGCTCCTCCTGCCCCCTCGTTGGGGCCCTGGAACCACTGACTGTTACGTGCCAAACCCCTGCCCTGCCCTTCTCTGGGGCTGGGCTGACCCCCCCTGCCCCACACAGGGCAGGTGTGACCCTCTCCTGCCCCACACAGGGGGTGGGGGCTCAGCTGTGACCCCCAAATTCCTGTCCTTGCGCCTCAAGGAAGAGGGGACGGGAGTGGAGGCTGCGACAGGGTGAGGGCACAGCCGAGCCCCGTGCCAGCTCTGACTTTGGGGTTTAGGCACAGCCTGTGCCCCCCCACACTCCCTGTGCCCCCCGGGGCTGTGCCCCCCACCCCAGGGCACGGCTGGGACTGCACAAACCCCCTCCATGGGGCCGGGTGAGCCCTTCCCCCTTCCCGATCCCGCAGCTCCTGGCGCGGGATTTGCCTTAAGCAGAGACTTTGATCCTTTTTGGGGGTGTGGGAGGGGGGGTTGGGGGTTGGGGGGGCGCGGGGGCGACTGCGGTTTCTCTACCTGTGAGCTCCGTGTGCTGCTCTAAAAACAGCAGCAGCAGCAGCAGCAGCAGCAGCGCGGGGCCCCCCCCGCACGCGGGGGCTGCACGAAGGGAGGGGGGGCACCCAGAGCAACCCCCCCCCGGGGCTCTCTGCACCCCCCCCTTCCCCATGGCCTGGGGATCTGCCCCTGACCCCCCCCCAAGTCTGTGAGGGGGGAATTAAAGCCTTGCACTGTTTGCAGCTCCTCGTGCCCCTCGTGCCCTTTGTCACCCGCGGGGATCGAAGCCCAGCAATGGGGTCACCCCAGAGCCCTCCCCCCGCCCCGGGCACAAAGGGTGGGGTCTCCAGGCTCCTTTGGCCGTGGGTGGTGGCAGTGGCTGGGGGTGTCCCTGCTCCGGGGTGTCACTGTCCCCCACCCCATGGTGGCACCGGCAGCTCCATGGACGAGGAGTCTCCACCTCTACCCCGGGTGCCCCCCGTGCCCCCCAACCCTCGATGCTTCCCTGGGGTGGGACCCCCACAGCTGGGGGGTGGCTGGGGGGTGGCTGGAGCCCCACGTCCCCCCCTTGTCACCAGCCCCGTGCCTGTGAGCCCAGGGTCGCTGGCACCTGGCAGGCACCCATCTGTTGGCCCTATAAACAACCTGGGGGAGGCCCTATAAACAGCCTGTTTGGGGGGCCCTGCAGCCAGAACCCCCCTTGTCCTGAGGGAGGGCCCCCGATGTCCCTCTGGTGGCACAGGGTGGCAGTGGCACCACATTGGCAGTGGCACCCCACGTTCATCGACCCCCTCCGGGGTCCCGGGGGCAGGGAAAGGCCGGACGTGCCCTGGGCAGGGGCCAGGGGGGGTCCTGCCGGTGCCATCACGTTGCTGGCAGTGGGGGGGGTACACGCCCGTGGGTGGCACACGCAGGGGTGACACGTGCCAGCAGTGCCACCCCCCCAAAACCCCCTCCTTGGCACCGTCCCGTGCCCGCCGTGCCAGAGACACGTCCCAAAATAGCCCGAGCGGGGCCATAAAAGCGGGGCGGGCGCGGGGGGGGGGCACTGGCACCATGGTGGGCCCCGGCGTGGTGGGGGGCTGCGGCGGGGGGCTCTCGGCCCGCCTGGGCTGCTCCGTCAGCGAGCGGGACGTGGGCAGGGGAGAGACCTTCAGCGCCGAGTGGCTGGACCTGGAGCTCAGCACCCGGCCCGAGGAACGGTGAGGGGCACGGCCAGGGGGGCACAGGGGGGCACGGGGGTGCTGGGGGCGAGGGACACCAAGGGACAGGGGGGTTTTCATGGGGTGTTGGGGTTGTGGGAGGCTCCAAGGATCCCGGAATGTGGGGTTTCCGTGGTGTCCTGGGGTTGTGGGGGGCTCCAGGTGTCCCAAACTAGGGGTTCCGTGGGGTCTTGGGGTTGTTGGCGGCTCCAGGGGTCGTGATGGGGGGCTTTGGGGGGTTCCACGGGGCCCCAAAATATGGGGTTTCCATGGGGTCTGGGGACTGTGGGGGGCTCCATGGAGTTCCACGGGGTTTTGAGGTTGTGGGCGGCTCCAGGGGTCCTGATGGGGCTTCGGGGGGCTCCAAGGGTCTCAAACTATGGGGTTTCCATGGGTTCTTGGGGCTGTGGGAGACTCCAGGGGTCCCAAAGTGGGATATTTCTGTAGGGTTTAGGGGTTATAGGGGGGTCCAAGGACCCCGATGGGGCCATGGGGCGGTGCAGGACATGGGGGTATCCTGGGGTCACTGCAGGATGGGAGGGGAGAAGGGGGTCTCCAGGGGTCCTCGTGGGATGGAGTGGGACATGGGGGTCTCCGGGGGTCCCCACGGGATGGGATGGGAGACAGGAGTCTCCAGGGGGGTGGTGCAGGACATGGGGGGGGTCTCCTGGTGGGATGGGGTAACCCCTAACAGGCAAAAGCAGGCCGGGGGAGTTCCCACGGGGCTCTGGGGTCCCTGTGCTGACCCTCACAAATGCCCCGTGCCCAGGTGGTGCCGGCGGGAGGTGGACACGGCGCGCCGGGAGTCGCTGGAGCAGCGCGGGGCCGTGCGGGTGCTGCAGCAGCGCTCGCCCTGGGGGCTGCTCCGGGTGGGGGTCCTGGGGCAACCCCTGGCCCAGCACCTCCTGCCCTACGCCCGCACCTTCCCCGTACCCCTCTTCGCCCCCCCAGACCTCCGCGGAGCCAAGGGGGGGCTCCCCCGGACCCTCTCCCGCTCCCTCTCCCATGAGGCCCAGCGGGGCTGAGCGGGGACGGGGGTTGGGGTCGGGGTTGGGGGGGCACGAGGCTGATTTTGGGGGGCTGGGGAGACCCAGAGACCTGGGTCTGCTCAGCCACCCCGAAGAGGCAGCGCAGGAGGGAGGGGGCAGGTGGGGGTGGGCTCCCCTTCGCCTGGGAGCCCACCCCGCTGAGGGCGCGGTGGGGGCCGGTCGGGACGGGGTCCCTGCGGGTCGGGGGCCTCCCGCGCTTCGGGGGGCTCCCGGCAGCACCGGCGTGACTCAGTTTCCCTGGCAAAGAGACGGGAATGTGAAGATGAGGAGCGCTGAGACCTGCCCGGGGCCGAAGGGGGGCCCTGGGGGGGCTGCGGGGGGCGGGGGGGTGGGCTGGGTTTGTACAAACGGTGGTCTTTGTACGGCAATAAAAGGCTCACGCTGTGCAGGAGGTGTCTTTGGGGGGGGCGAGGCTTAGGGGGAGGGACCTGCTGTGGGATGGGGGACACTGAGGCACAGCAGCTGCAGGGACACGGGTGTCCTGCGGGGTTTGGGGGGGCGGATTTGGGAGGGGGGGCCCCTTGTGCTTATATAACCCCCCCGTTGTCGCCCGCCCTGGTGCCAGGATCCAGGATGGCCCCCGTGCCCAGATTAGCTGTTCCCGTCTGGATCCCACTGTCCCTGGGCCCCTGCCAGGCCCTGTGCCCTCCCTGAGCCCAGCCTGGCTCCATCCCGGCCCCGTTCCCGGCCCTTCCTCCCAGGAGCCGCCTGTCCCTTCCCCTTCACCCACCTACAGCTCCGGCACAGGCAGGATTTGGGGTCTTCAAACACCCCCCCCAGCCCCACAAGTGGGTCTCACCCTGCTCCTTGTCCCAGAGTGCTGGGAGCACTGGGAGCACTGGGAGCACTGGGATCTGGCAGAGATGGCGCAGCTCCTACCAGGGCTGGGCTGGGGTCCAGCACACTCAGCTCACTGGTGATGGTGAGCTCAGATAGGCCCCATCCCAATCCCTTCCCATCCCAAGCCCCACTTCATTCCAATCCCTTTTCCATCTCCATCATCCCTTTTCCATCCCTATCATCCCTTTTCCATCCCACTCCCTTTCCAAACCCTTCCTATCCCCATTACAATCCCTATTCCATTTCCCCCACTCCAATCCCCATCCCATTCCAAACCCTTCCCACCCTCATCCCCATCCCATTCCATCCCAATCCCTCCATGTTCCCATCCCCATCCCACACCATTCCCATCCCCTTCCCAATCCTCGTCACGTTTCTCCCCCCCCATCCCAAACCCTTTCCATCCTTATCCCCAACCCAATTCCTCCCCATTCCCATCCCATGGGACACTCATGAGCATTCCCAGCCCTGGGGCAGTGCAGGGCTGGTCACAGTGGCCCAGACGCAGGGACTGGGACAGGATTCCTGGATCCCTCAGCCCGGGAAGGGCAGCAGAGCGTTATCAGCTCCGGGATGGCTCCGGGGCTCCGGCGCTAACCCAGTTATCGGGGATGGATGGACGGCTGGGAGCCGGGATGGATGATGGATGGAGGGACGGGGGGCTGGATGGATGGGGCCGTCACGGCTCCCCGCCGCCCCCCCCGGGCCCGGACAGGGATAAAAGGCGATTCCCGGGTGCGGGAGCCGCAGCCCCCCCGCCATGAGCAGCCTGGCCGAGCTCCGCGAGGGCTACGAGCGCTTCGACCCCCGCGCGTACCTGCGCAACAACTACCTCCCCCCCCGCGCCGACTTCTCCTCCGAGGAGTTCGTGGTGCCCTGGAAGCTGCGATGCCTCGCCGACACCTTCGCCAGCGGTGAGAGGGGGCTCGGGGACCCCCCCAAAGCCCTGCAGCGGGGCAGGGAAACCGAGGCACGGGGCACCCTCGGTGTCCGCCGCGCCCACCTCCCACCCTGGGGGCAGCTCCCATCGCCCGCCCGGGTTTTCCCAGTCCCCTGGGTGGGTGTGGGACCTCCCTCCTCCATGTCTCACACCCAGGTGAGATCCGGGGCCAGACCCTGATCGATGTGGGCTCGGGCCCCACCATCTACCAACTGCTGAGCGCCTGCGACCACTTCGAGGAGATCGTGGCCACCGACTACCTGGCGGTGAACAGGGAGGAGCTGGGCCGGTGGGTGCGGGGGGACCCCGGAGCCTTCGACTGGAGCCCCTTCATCCAGCACGTCTGCAAGATCGAGGGCCGCGGGTAGGGGGCCGTGGGGGGCGCGGGTGGGGGGTGGGAGAGGTTGTAGGGGGGTAAAAGGGGACAGGGGTGGTGCTGGGGTGGCCCCTGCGGGATTGTGTGCCCGAGGCCCCCCGGGATCACAGCCCCACATCCCTGTAGATGCTGGGGTGATCCCTGAGGGATTCTGTCCCCAAATCCCATGAGATCACGGCCCCATGCTCCTGCAGATGCTGGGATGATCCCTGAGGGATTCTATCCCCAAATCCCACGGGATCACGGCCCTGTGCTCCTGCAGATGCTGGGATGATCCCTAAGGAATCACGTCCCCAAATCCCAGGAGATCACGGCCCCCCCCCCCCAACCCCTGTGAATGCTGGGGTGATCCCTGCAAGATCCCTGCCCCACACATCCATGGGATTCTGTCCCCACAATCCTGCATGTTCCTGATCAATCCCCACCCAATCCCCTCCCATCACCTGGCTGCCGGGTTGATCCCCAGGGGATCCTGTCCCTGTGTCCCTGCGGGTGCTGGGTCCAGCCCTGCAAGATCCTGTTCCCAGGTCCCTGGGGGTTCTGGATTGATCCTACCCCCACATCCTTGCACGATCCCACTCCCACATCCCTGCAGGATCCTGTCCCCGCATTCCCGTGGGTTCTGAGTCGACCACATCCCCACATCCCTGTGTGTTGGATTGATCCCATCCCCACATCCCTGTGGGTTCTGGGTTCATCCCATCCCCACATCCCTGTGTGTGCTGGGTTCGTTCCCTTCCCACATCCCTGCAGGATCCCATCCCCATATCCCTGTGGGTTCTGGACTGATCCCATCCCCACATCCCGGTGTGTGCTGGGTTCATTCCATTCCCACATCCCTACAGGATCCCATCCCCACATCCTGGTGGGTTCTGGTTGATTCCATCCCCACATCCCAGTGGGTTCTGGGTCGATCCCATTCCCACATCCCTGTGGGTTCTGGACTGATCCCATCCCCACATCCCTGTGGGTTCTGGGTTGATTCCATCCCCACATCCCAGTGGGTTCTGGATTGATTCCATCCCCACATCCCAGTGGGTTCTGGGTCGATCCCATCCCCACATCCCTGTGGGTTCTGGACTGATCCCATCCCTACCTCCCTGTGCGTGCCGGGTTCATCCCATCCCCACATCCCGGTGGGTTCTGGGGCAATCCACATCCCTGTGCCCCCCCATCAATCCCCCCTCAAACACACCCCTCCCCACTCCCCCCTTCCCGCCGTTCCTCCCCCACCCCTCAGGGAGCCGTGGCAGGACAAGGAGCGCCGGCTGCGGGATCGCCTCCGCCGGATCCTGCCCATCGACGTGCACCGCCCGGACCCGCTGGGGGCCCCCCTGGACCCGCCGGCCGACGCTCTGCTCTCGGCCTTCTGCCTGGAGGCCGTGAGCCCCGACCGCGCCGCCTTCGCGCGGGCGCTGCTGCACGTGGGGTCCCTGCTGCGCCCGGGGGGCCACGCGCTGCTCCTGGGGGCCCTAGGCGAGTCCTTCTACCTGGCGGGGCCGGCGCGGCTGCCCGTGGTGCCGCTGGCCTTGGCCGACGTGCGGGCGGCGCTGGCGGGCGCGGGGCTGGCGCTGCGGGAGCTGCGCAGCTACGAGATGCCCCCGGCGCTGCGCACCGGCGTGGACGACGTGCACGGGGTGTTCTTCGCCCACGCCCAGAAACCCCCCCAGGGGCACTGAGAGGAGCAGGGGGGAAACTCGACCCCGGGACCCCCGGCGGTTGCGTTTGGGGGCGTGGGGAACACCCCCCCTGGACCCGGAATAAAGGTTGAGGTTGTGGCAGAGCCGGAGGCGGTGAGGGGTGTGGGGAGGGGGTGGTGTGTGGGGAGGGGGCACACGGAGATCCTGGGTGGGGCAGGGACCCCCGGGTGAAGGGCAGAGGGGAGGGTGTGATGAGAGAATCGGGGCACGGTGAGGATGAGGTGGGAAGGGGGTGCCTGGCGTGGCAGGGGGTTTGGGGCACACCATGAGGGAATTTTGGGGCACACTCACAGGGATGGTTTGGGGCACACGAAGGGCAAAGGCAGGTATGGGGGTGGGTGGGGGGTTCACGGTGTGGGGGGGATATGGGGCACACCCCACAAGGGGTTTTGGGGCACACAGAGGGTAGGAGCAGAGTCAGAAATGGGGGGCAGGGCAGGGCAGGTATGGGGTGGGCAGGGGGTGCGTGGCAGGGGGGTTTGGGGTACAACAAGGGATGCTGGGGCACAAAGAGGGGGGATATGGGGCACACGGAGCAGATCTGGGGTGCCTCGTGGGGTGACAGCAAAGGGGAGGGGGGCACACGGTGAGGGGGCAGACAGAGGGTGCAGGGGGCCAGCACTGGGGGTACAGGGTGCCCCTGGGGCAGGGAGGGGGCACAGGGGGGGCAATAACCCAGCACAGGCTGAACTCAGCTTTATTCACATCCCACAGCACACCCAGGCAAGGGGAGTGGGGGGGGCACAGCCCCAGGGGGGGCACAGCCCCTCTGGGCCGGGGGGGCACTCCCAGCCCCAAGGCACCCACACATCACCCCCCACCCCTGCCAGAGCCACCCAGCAGGGCCCAGCAAGGCCCCCAAAGTGCACAGACACCCCCCCACAGTCACCCACGTGTCCCCCTCCCCACCATGACCACTGTCACCTCATGGTTCAGCCCCAGGGGGGTCCAGGGGTGGGGGCTCAGCTGCCCCTTGCCCCCTGTGCACCAGCACTGGGGGTCCCCAGCCCCCCAGGGAGGGGTGAGGGGGGGGCACAGGGTTTTGGGGGGGGGAGAAGAACAAACCTCAGAAGGCAACTGGGGGGAGGAGGAGGCCGTGGCAGGGGGGAGCCGGGGGGGTCACTTGGCACAGGGCAGGGCAGGACCCTGGGGGGGGCACGAGGGGCTTCTCCTCTCCCCCCTTCAGCAGCTCTAGTCCACTTTGAGGAGGTCGGAGTTGGCCTTCAGGAGGTAGAGGCTGTCATCCATCAGGAAACTGGGGGACAAACGGGGGGCTGTGGGGGGGGGTTCTAGGGTCCACAGCCCCCCCAGCTGCCTGTGCCAGGTGGGAAGGGGGGGACTGGAGGAGCCCTGAACCCCTCACTGAGCACAGACACACCCTGGGGCTCAGGGGGTGCAGCAATGGGGTCTCTCCCAACACCCCACTGCAAACTCAGGGGGGCCCCAATTTCAAGAGGGGGCCACTGAGCACCCCACAGACCAAAGGGCACCCCCATTTCAAGAGGGGGACCCCACAGCCTCAGCACCTCAGCTTTAAAGATGAGACTCCCACCACCCCAGGGGAGCCACAAGTCCCCCCCAAAAACCCCGCGTTGAAGCATCGGGACCCTCGGGGTGCCCCTTCCCCCCGATTTTAAGCGGGGAGGGGGCGTCACGGACCTGTAGAAGAGCACGTTGAGGGGGATGGTCCCGATGTGCCAGAGCGCGTGGGCGTCCAGCACCCAGAGCAGGGGCGGGAAGTCCAGGAGCTCCAGCAGCGCCAGCGCCTGGAGCAGCAGCACCGCGGCCGCGCATTTCCACACGTGCGGGAGGCGCCGGCCGTGCCCCAGGCACCAGCGCAGCCACCAGCCCACCGTCAGCATTCCTGGGAAAACGGGGCGGGGAAGGGGTCAGGGGGGGACCCAAGCACGGGCAGCATTCCTGGGAAAACGGGGCGGGGAAGGGGTCGGGGGGGGGGACCTAAACCACGGGCAGCATTCCTGGGAAAACGGGGCAGAGAAAAGGGGCGGGGGGGGGGACCTAAACCACGGGCAGCATTCCTGGGAAAATAGGACACTTAGGGACAGGGTGGGACCTACCCCCCCATCAGCATTCCTGGGAAAACGGGGGGACCTAACTACAGGCAGCATTCCTGGGAAAACAAGGGGAAAAGGGGTGGTGGGGGGGACCTAAACCACAGGCAGCATTCCTGGGAAAATAGGATACTTAGGGACAGGGTGGGACCTACCCCCCCATCAGCATTCCTGGGAAAATGGAGGGGGGGGGGGAAGGGTCAGGGGGGTGACCCAACCACGGGCAGCATTCCTGGGAAAATAAGGCACTCAGGGACAGGCTGGAACCTGCCCCCCCAGTCAGCATTCCTGGGAAAACTGGGGGGATTCGGGAACAGGGGGAGCACCCATCCCTGGGTCACCATCCCTGGGAAAACAGGGGGGCTCAGGGACAGGGAGGCACCGAGTGACCCCCAACACAGCCCCAGCATGGCCCAGTGGCTCCCAGCACCCCCCAGCCCAGCCCCAGTGCCCCCAGTGCCCCCCAGTGCCCCCCAGCTCACCCAGGGCCGCGTTGGCCGCCAGGTTGTAGCCGTAGTCGAAGCGCACGAGGCTCAGGTAGGAGATGTGGCAGGTGAGGAAGAGGAGGAGGAAGGCCCTGAAGATGCTGATTAAGGCTGGGCGCTGCAGCCCCAGCGTCCTGGGGGGACAGGGGGCGGGGGGGTGGCCCAGTGAGCCCCCAGGATGGCTCAGGGACCCCCCCAGTATGGCCCAGTGACACTCAAACTGGCCCAACAGAGCCCAGCACCTCCCCCAGCAAAGTCCAGTGGCTCCCCAGTGTGGCCCAGTGACCCCACTACACAGCCCACACCTCCCAGCATGGACCAAGGATGGCCCAACAGCCACCAGCAAGACCCACCAGTGCCCACCAGTATGGCCCAAGTGACCCCTAACACAGCCCCAGCATGGCCCAGTGACCCCCAGTACAGAACTGGTATGGCCCAGTGACCGCACAGCATGGCCCAGTGACCGCACAGCATGGCCCAGTGACCCCCAGTACAGAACTGGCATGGCCCAGTGACCGCACAGCATGGCCCAGTGACCCCCAGTACAGAACTGGTATGGCCCAGTGACCGCACAGCATGGCCCAGTGACCCCCTAGAATGGCCCAGTGGCTCCCAGTACAGCCCAGCACTTGTCAGCCCAGCTGCAGTTGGACCCAGTGCCCCCTAGTCCAGTCCCAGCACCTCCCAGTCCAGTCCCAGTGCCCCCAGTGCCCACCTGACACAGCACAGGTACACCGAGTGCAGGACGGCGGCCGAAGCGCAGAAATAATCCAGTTTCTGTGGGATTTGGGATGGATGAGCCCAACTGGCAGCAGGGGTGGGGTGGCAGGGGTCTGACACCTCTAAGGGGGGGGGACACAGACCCCCCCCAGGGTGTGGGGACACCCCGGGGTGTCACCCCCTCACCTCCGTCAGCGCCGTGTCCCGCGTGTGGAAAACCGTGGACCAGAACCAGGCGTTTAAGGAGACCTGGGAAAGGGGGAAAGGTGGGATTGGGGGGGGAAGGATGAGGGTCAGAACCCCAAACCTCCCCAGGTCAGGACCCCCCCAATTTGGGGAACGAGGGCCCTGAGAATGAGGTGGGAGTGACGGAGCAGCTGGAGCTGGTGGGATCAGCTGGTTATGGAAAAGAGCTGGAGAAAGGGGGGGGGAATGGGATGTGGAAAGGGGGGGACAAGAGGGAAAGGGAAGGGGGGGAAAAAGGAAGAAAGGGGAGAAAGGGAAAGGGGAAAAAGGGAAAATGTTAAAAAGGAAAAGGGGAAAATGGAAAAGGAGAAACGGTAAAAGGGGAAATGGGGAAAAGGGAAAGGGGGAAAGGGGAAAAAGGGGAAAAGAGGGGGAAAGAAGGGAAAAAGGAAGGAAATAAAGGAAGGGAAGAAGGAAGAGAAGGGAAAGGGGGAGAAGAGTGAGGGAAAGGAGGGGAAAAGGGAGGAAAAGGAAGGGAAAGAAATAGAAAAGGAAGGGAAAGAAAGAGAAAAGGAAGGGAAAGGGGAGAAAAGGAAGGGAAAGGAGGGCAGAGGGAGGGAGGGGAGGGCAGAGGGAGGGCCGCGGGTGCAGGGGGCGGCGGGCAGGCGGGTCTCACCCCGGCGAAGGCGGTGCAGGTCCCGTAGGTGGGCGCGGCGGGGGGCACGGCCGCGCGGTAGCGCCGCAGCATCACCAGGCTGGCCAGGCCGTTCAGGAAGGAGGCGAGGGCGGAGGCGGGCTCCTGGAAACACAGGAACCTCCGGAACGGCCACTGCGGGGGCACAGCGGGGTCAGCGGCGCCGGGGGGACCCCCCCACGTCCACCCCCATCCCCCCCGCGGGGGCCGGGCCCCCCTGCCCGGGCTCACCTTGCCGTGGAACTGCGGCACCCGGTGCCCCCCGCGCTGGTAGAGCCGCACCGTGAGCCACATGCACTCGTACTGACAGTCGTCCCGGCACGTCCAGCCTGGGGGCACGGCGACGCTGAGCCTCCAGCGCCTCCCAGTGCCCACCAGTATGCACCAGTATGCACAGGCAGGCGGCACTGGGGGCGCCACGGGAGGGGCAGCGCGGGGGGTTCGCCCTGTGGCACTGGGGACCCCCCCAGCGCTGTGCTGGGGGCGGGGAGGGCACCCGGCCGTCCCCATGGGGACCAGCATCACGGCCCAGCAGCTCCCAGTGTGGCCCAATGGCCCCCCAGTAGGGCCCAGTGGCCCCCCAGTATGGCCCAGTGGCCCCACTACACGGCTCAGCACCTCCAAGTATGGACTAAGAACAGCCCAATAGCCACCAGTCTGGCCCAGCAGTGCCCCCCAGTATAGCCCGAGTGACCCCTAACACAGCCCAGTGGCCCCCAGTATAGAACCGCCATGGTCCAGTGACCCCCCAGCATGGCCCAGTGCCTCCCAGTGCAGCCCCAGTATGGCCCAGCAGCCTCTAGCCAGGCTTCAGGACACCCCAGTGCTCCCCAGTTTAACCCGTGTCACCCAGTCCAGACCCATTCCCCGCCAGTGCTCCCCAGTTTGACTCCAGTTCCCCCCCAGTGCTCCCCAGTTTGATCCCAGTCCCTCCCCAGTGCTCCCCAGTTTGACTCCAGTCCCTCCCGGCGGGGGCGTGGCCTGGAAGGGCGGGCGTGGCTTCTACACTGCCCCGCCCCGAGGGGCGTGTCCCTCTGCCGCTCCAGCCAATGGGCGCGCGGGGGCCGTACCTGTCAGGCCCATGTAGAGCGGCTGGCGGTCCCGGAAGTGCCGCAGGGCGGCCCCCGAGCAGTTCTGCCGCTCGCAGCGGCTCAGGCACTCCCGGTACAGCGGCTCCCGGTCCCCCTGCGAGCCGCGGGCCGGGCCCGCCGCCGCCGCCAGCAGCAGCAGCAGCAGCGCGGGCCGCGCCGCCATCGCCGCCCGGCCCGGCCGCTTCCGGGTCCGCCCCGGACACGGCGGGCGCGGGGCATTGTGGGATAGGCCGCCCCCGTGCGGCCGTGGAGGATCACGGGATATGTCCCCCCATGGGGGTCCCGGGGGGGTTCGGGGACCCCCCCGATGGGCTGCGGGGACGCCGCCGTGTCCTGGGCGGCTCCAGCACTGGCCGGGGCCGTGCGGGCAGCACGGCGGGGGGCGTCGAGTGGCTGATGCCCCGTTCCTGTCCCTACGGAGCCATCACCCCGTGGCAGAGGGGACCCCCGACCCCCAATACCGATCGTCGACCCCCCTTCGCGGGGGGGTCCTCCCTCGGTGGCCCCTTTGGGGGCACGGCGTGGGGTGGCCCGTGGGGACACGGGGAGGTCACACCCCAGCACCCCGCCCTGGTGAGGTGCCCCTCTGTGCCTGGCCAGGGGGTCCCCAGGTGAGGGGTCCCTGTGGAGGACGGGGATGCTCCTGGGGGACCCCATGTCCTGATCCTCCCCCCTTCCCGCGTGTGCCCAGGGCAGCAGGTGGAGGTGGGACGGGGGAGGGACAGGGAACAGCTCCGGGGACACCTCACTGGGGACCCGTCGGGTGCTGCTGGGCTGTCCCTGCACCCCAGAACTGTCCCAGTCATTCAGGACTGTCCCCCTATTCCCCCCAAGGCTGTCCCTGCATCCCAGAACTGTCCCCATCATTCAGGAGTGTCCCCCAGGGCTGTCTCTGCACCCAGGAGTGTCTCTGTACCCCCCGGGACTGTCCCCCTGTCCCTGTACCCCAGGATCGTCCCTGACTGACCCTGTACCTCATGACTGACCCCCCGCACCCCCAGCACTGTCCCCGCACCCCAGAACTCTCCCTGTCCCCCCAAGACTGTCCCTGAACTCCAGGACTGTGCCCCTGTCCCTGTCCCTCCAGGACAGTCCCTCGACCCCCCAGGACCACTCCTGGGTGCCAGGCCTGTCCCCACCCCACCCCCCGGGACTGTCCCCGACCCCAGACCCAGGAGTGGCATCACTGTCCCCCCTCCCCTGCACCCGTGACAGCCCCAGCGGGGCAGGTGAGGGGACAGGGTGTGGGGGGGTCCCCCCCATTCCGGCGACCCCCCTTTCTGCGGGGTCACAGCAGGACCCCGGGACAGGGGACCACGGGGGGCGGGGGGTCCCCGGTGCTCCAAGGGATGGGAGGGGATAACGGGGGTCGCGGGTGTTCCCGGGGGATGGACGGCGGGGGATCCGGGCTGGGGGTCCCCCGTTGCTCCGGGGGGATGGAGCGCGGGGAGTGTCGCGGTCCGGGGGGGGCGCCGGGAGCGCGCGGGGGCGGCGGGAGCGCGCGGCGCGCCCTCGCCCCGGGGCCGGGACCGGGGCTCGGGACCGCGAGGCGGAGCCCGGGAGCGGCGGGAGGCGGCGGCTCCGGCCCCGCAAACTTTCCCGGAGCGGCGGCGGCGGGGCCATGGGCCGCGGCCCGCGCTGAGCACCATGATCAGGGCCGGGGGCTGCCTCGGCGCGGGGCTCCTGCTGCTCGCCGCCCTCTGCCCCCCCGCCCCCGCCGAAGGTGGGTCCCACCGGGGGGCACCGGGAGGGCACCGGGGACTGGGGGCGCGCCGGGCCCGCGGGAGCGACCCCCGCGCAGGGAACTTTGCGCGAAGTTTTGCACCGGGACCCACCGGGACCGTGGGGGGGCAAACCGGGAGAGGGGACGGGGGGGGGGGCACGGGGGGCGTGACCGGGAGGGCACCAAGGGGGACGGCGGGGGTGGGACCGAGGGGGGAACTGCGGGGCGACCGAGGGGCACCGTGGGGAAACCGAGGGGGCAAGGGGGGTGGGACCGGGCAGCGGCGGGAGGGGATCGGGGGGGACACCGCGGGGTCCGGTGTGCCCGGGGGCTGCTGGGTTGGAAGGGACGGGACCGCCCCCTCTCCCGTCCCCTCTTGGTCCCCACTCGGTGCCCCGTCGGTCCCCCCCGTTCTCCCCGCCGCGGGCAGCGCGTCCCCGGTGTCCCCGCGCCGCGATCGCCCGCCGGGACTGGGGGCCGGACCGGTCCATACTGGGGGGCACTGGGCCGGAGGGGGCTGCCCTGCCCTTCCCAGGGCTCCAGTACTGCCGGGGGAAGCGGGGACGGGGGGACACCAACTTTGCGGGGGTTCCCTGCCCGGCGGCCCCGGGAGGTTTCGAGGTGCGGGGCAGGCGCGGTGCCCCACGGAGCGGGTGGGTGGGTGGGTGCGTCGTCCCCGTCGCTCCCATCCACATTCTCGACGTGCCGCACCCAGCCCAGCCCCGGGGGAGCGGGGAGCCCGGACGGAGCCCCGACAGCCCCCCGGGCACTGGGACGGGGCTGGCAGGGACGGGGGTAGTGGGGGACGGGGCTAATGGCCTCAAAGGAGGCACCGGCAGCCCAAAAAGTTGAACCCCGCTGCCTCCGTGCAGCCCCGTGTTGGGGGGGGGGGGCAGCTCCGTGCTGGGGGGCAGCTCCAGCACCAGGGCTTTGGGAAGCGAATGCTCGGTGGGGCTGAGCCGGTGTGGGGTGGTGGGACAGGGACGTGGGGGCACAGTGGGTGCTCTCCACCACTGGCATCCCACAGCTCACCCTGTTCAGAGGGTCTGTGCCAGGGGAGCTCCCAGCTGGGGACACACCAGTGCCCCCCATTGCTGGGGCCGGATCCGTGCCCAGCAGCCCCAGTTCAGGGCAGCCCCACGGGCACGTGGCCCGCAGGCTTTGCTGGACACCTGCGGGCATCCGGGGCCCTCGGCGGTGGCACTGCCCACCGGGACAGGATGGATCCCTCACTGCCCTTCCCAGGGAACTGGGGGAGCTGGCAGGGCCGAATCCCAAGGCACAGAGCTGGGATCCCGGCAGGATTTGGCCCTGCCACTCACCCGTCCCACCTGCCCTTCGCCCCGGGGGAGCCCCTGGCATCCTGTGCCCGCACCACGGGCAGACCTTGAGCTTTGGCCTCCCGCCACAACGGCACGTTCCCTGCCGGGGAACCAGCTGGTGGGGGGAGAGCTGCACCCCAAGTTCAGGGGGCTTCCCCCTCCCCGGCCGTGTTGTCCCTGGCTCAGACGCCTTGGAGAAGGCGGGTACCAGCCGGGTCCTGCGGCCACGAGGCCACTGCAGCAGCTGCTGCCACCAGGGACTGTCACTCAGCCGTGGGGCACCAGCAGCAGCCAGGGACGGGGACACCGGACCCCTGGCTGACCCCCTGTGCCTCCGTGCCCCCTGTGCTGGGAGGGGAGGGCAGCGGGGCTGGTGGCACTGGGGCCAGCCCTGGGGTGGTGGCAGGGTCAGGTCTGGGGTTGGTGGCAGGGTCGGTGTCGGAGCAGAGTTGGGGTCTGGCGGGGGGCTCTCCCAGGTGAGGTGTTGGGGTGCCGGGGGCCGCGGGCACGCCGGGGCTGGGCCGTGCCCGCCAGCCCTGCGTCACCACTGCTCCCCAAACACGCCCGACCTGAAAAGGCGGTTCCTGCCGGGAGCGGGCGGCCGGGGCCCTGTGCCACCCGCGCCCGTGACTCACCCGCCCGGGGCCTGGCACCCAGGGCGGGCTCCCGCGCCCCCCGCCCTGCCCCGGTGCCACGGGGACGGTGGCCCTGCCGGCAGCCCCCCCACAGTGCCCCCCACAATGGGCCCGACTGGGCTCGCAGCCGTCACCGCTCAACAATCGGGTCTTGTCTCGGCGTGGCCCCCCCGCCCGCGTGGGCAGAACATTCCTGCCCGCGGCCCCCGGCTCGGCACCTCGGGGATGGGGGTCCTCAAACCCAGCCCCCCGCAGCCCCCGGCGCCCACCGCGGGCACGGGGCGACGCGGGGACCCCGCCGTCCCTCGAGCGGGGCCGGTGCCAGAGCGGGAGAAGCTTCGCCGCGTGCCGGGGTGGGAGCCCGGGGGGAGCCACGATCCAGGAAGCCCATCGGAAGCTGTTGGGAGCAGCCCCGGAGATAAACGGCGGCCGCCGGATCCGCGGCGCTTCCTGCGGGGGCCGGGGCTCGGGGTCCCGCGGGGGCGGGGAGGGGTCAAGCTCGGAAGAGTCGGGCTCGGGGTCCTGCTGAGCTCCCGCTGTCCCCCCCCCCCAGTCTGCACCGGCACAGACATGAAGCTGCTGCGACCCTCCAGCCCCGAGAGCCACTACGAGACCCTGCGGCACCTCTACCAGGGCTGCCAGGTGGTCCAGGGCAACCTGGAGCTCACCTACCTGCCCCCCGACGCCGACACCGCCTTCCTCAAGGTGCGCAGCGGGAAAACACCGCGAGGAGGGCGGGGGGAGGGGGGAAGGATGGTGGTCTGAGCAGCCCCTCACCCGTGTCCCCACACCCCAGGACATCAAGGAGGTGCAGGGGTACGTGCTGATCGCGGAGAACCAGGTGAGGGGGCTGGAGCTGCAGAGCCTGCGCATCATCCGCGGGACGCAGCTCTTCCAGGACCGCTACGCCCTGGCCGTGGTGGGCAACGCCGGCCCCGCCGGCACCCCGGGGCTGTTCCAGCTCGGCATGAGGCACCTCACAGGTGGGGACTCCCCACCCCGGGGCAGGCACGGGGGGCTCGGGGGTGTGGGGCGCTGCTCCTGGCGCTGGGAGCTGCAGGGTCCTGCCTGGGGATGGGTGGTCCTGTGGGGTGGCAGGTCCTCATCCAGGACTGGGTGTCCCCATCCAGGATTGGGTGCTCCCATGGAGAGTGGCAGGTCCCTGCCCAGGTCTGGGACTCCCCATGGGGCTGCAGGACCCCCCCTGTCCCCATGCTGACCCCCCTGCACCTTTCCTCCCCCCCCAGAGATCCTGAAGGGAGGGGTGCACATCGAGAGGAACCCCCAGCTGTGCTTCCAGGAGACCATCCTGTGGAGCGACATCCTGCACCGGCACAACGAGTTCCGGGGCGAGATCCACGTGGAGAGCACCCGCAGCCGCAGCTGTGAGAGCCCCCACGGGTGGGGGGGAGGGGGCTGTGGGACCCAGGGAGGGGGTCTGGGGGCTTCCAGCCCCCTCCACTCACGATTCCCCCCTTGCAGGTCCCGACTGCCGGGCG